TTGTGTCTTCTCTTGGGGCAAAGACGAACCCGATGCTGAAGAGAAAGAATTTTATATTCTATCTCGAGTTACAAAGGAAACTCAAAGTGAAATCTCCACTTTAAGAATCTGAAGAGTGAAACTAAGAGTGGGATCTCCACTCCGAGAATCGGAACGATTCGGATAACCCTAACTGTCGGAAGGTTTGATTACCGAATTAAAGATAAATTTCTCGTTTATCGAGAGTGAATTGTGATTTTGGTCCTAACTGTAGGAAGGTTTGACCAAGCGGGAGTTTGAGATGACCCTAACTGTCGGAAGGTTTGATCACTCGATTTAAAAGTGGACCTCTCGTTCATTGGGGGAATCGAGAGGGGATTTTGGTTTTGGTCCTAACTGACCAATTGGGAGGTTTGAGATGATCCTAACTGTAGGAAGGTTTGATCACTCGATTTGAAAGTGGACCTCTCGTTCATTGGGGGAATCGAGAGGGGATTTTGGTTTTGGCCCTAACTTTTATAGGTTTGACCAAAAAGCAAAGAAAGTGGAAAACGGGTAGCAAAAAAAGTGCCAACTCGTATTATCACTCAAAGGGAGACTTTAATGCTAGGCGTTTAGGACCTAACACGTTAAGTCTGAGAAATGCCAACGACGGGCAAATGGAAACGTTGGTGGATCCCCTGTCGTTTAAGAATCAGTCAAAGTGGATGCCCCAGTGCCTCAAAGGAGAAAAAATAGCAGACATCCTTGAAAACTAAATATTTATCGCCTCATCAACGAGAAGACAAACACATCGATGATCCATGGATTTAATTTAAATCAATCCTCTTCCATAGACAAAACAATAATTTTATGTATATTTAAGGCATAATACCTGCAATCAAGGATAAATGAACATTACTCCTCTGAAGCTCTCTAGGTTAATGAAGCTCTCAAGGTTATCTTTTGTTCAATTGATTCGCTAACAAAAGTTAAAAATAAAAACTTGTTTTCATCATGTACCGATTCAGTCCTGCAGTACAAACTTCAAGTTTCCTCATTTCTTCTCCAATCCTTTCAATAAGCCCCAAGTTCTCATAAATCCCACATTTGAAAACAAGAAAACAAACCGAATATAATATTTCAATCTTACATGTAAAAAATGGAAGCACTGTCATGTCGCTTCCCATTATCTACACAATACCACCTATTGTCGAAGCTAGACCCTCCAAGAATCCACATCCAAAAAATAGTTCCTCCCAAACAATCCAAAAGTAGTCAAGTACATAAATAAGTTCCCCCCTTTCTACTTCCAATCTTCAAAAACCTCACTTCCTGATAAAGCCCAAACAAACAATTCATCTTTACAACCAATTCCATTTTACTCAGAGCAAAAACCATCAGTCTAACAACGAACTGAATCCAACCACCATTCTGCTCCAAATTCTTTAAAAAAAAACACTCCAAGTAAACCCAGATCTAACACAATGAACTGAACCAAAATGGGCAAGAGCTTTAGCAACACTATGCAAGAAAACAAGGTTCAAATTTTGTTACCCAAATCGAGGAAAAGACTAAAAATTAAGTTAAATAACGAAATAACAAAAAGCAAAGATTTAGTAACCCCATGAGATCAACTCTCAGATGAATGCTCGGAGCCACACAATTAAGCCTCATTCTATCTACTTCCAGCCTTGAAAAACCTCACTTGCAAATAAAACCCAAATCATAGGACATGTGCATTCACCCAATAACCCAACCAACCAAAATCCAGCTACTCCCCAAACAAAAGCCCTCATTTTAACAAATAACTGAGTCCAACCACTACTTCTTCTCGCAATTCTCAAAAAAAAACCACTCAAATTAAGGAAGAACTTTAACTACACTATGCAAGTAAACAAGTTCAAATTTTGTCACCCAAAATGCCGAAAGCACTAAAGATCAAGTCAAATTACAAAATAACAAAAACCCAAGTTGAGATTCAGTTACCCCATGAGATTAACCCTGAGATGAATGCTCAATTCGATGAAGAGCTCATACATCTGGCCGAGATCAGCAGCGTTCCCATGAGAATACAGCAGAGTAGAGCTCGCCATTGGGTTTCTAACATACATAGCGACGATCTCGTTCCCCTTTCGAGTTGGGATCTTCATGATCTCGACATTCTCTCGATGGGGGAATCGACTGAGAGTGAGGAGGCCGGTGAGGCTGTCGACGGTGAGATCGTACGATGGCGGGTTTGGAGGGAAGAAGGCTAGCTTCGCCGCCATGGACGAAGTCACTCCTCCCATTTTGAGATCGATTGGGCTCGATCTCAGAGTTTGCTTGCTTTCTCTTTAGCAAAGTGATAGTGGAAGTAAAATAGCTTTGAGCTGGTTGTTTGCTTGTTGTTGGTTTTGTTTATCCCAAAGTGTTAGATTTTTCCTTTTCTTTTTTCTTTTTTATTTTTTTGAGGAGGAGGTGGAGGGATTTGGGGCTTGCTTTTAGTTTTTGTTTGTTTATTGAGGGTGGGAGTGGGATTTTGTGGTGGCGAGGAGTAACGTTTCTTGGGAGTTTCTGAATGTTTGTGTCGTCGTAGAGGAGTGTGGCTGTTATCCTTTCATGAGTAACAAATGACCTAAATTTGAATTTAAAAGGTGCCATGTCGTGTTTGAATTTTGATGAATGATTGTTTGAAGTTGTTGTATTTTTTAGCCGAACATGGAATTATCACACTACTCGAAGTAGCAAAGAAATGATGCGCTGACAGAGCTTGCACAGTTGGTGTTTGATCTAAAGATAAGTTCGGTTTTAGAAAACGATTGCTACAATTATATTAGTGATTTGTAAAAGATTGTTGAAACTTTAGTCTTCTTTTGTATACCGTGGTGTTTTCCTTGTTGTGTTTTTATAAAAAAAACACTATGGTGTTATGTTTTTCTCTTAAAATGTTTTTAAAACACTATGTTGAGTGTTTTTGTTCAACATTAGTTTGACCCATTACAACATTAGTATTAAATATATTATTAATATGTTATACATTAATTATAATAAAATATATTGTAAATAAAATGTTATAATATTTAGTTTATATTATTTTAAGTATTAAATATAATACAATATAATATTGTATAATGTGTTATAATAGTATATTGTACTTTAATGAGTTATTGTAAAACCCCGTAAATTTTTTTGAAATATACTAGGGTAAATAGTATTAAATGAGTTATACTATGATAAATATTATTTAATGATGAATGAGCATGATAGTAATTGTTTTAAGACCAATTAAGAGTATATATGCATTATATACCGATGCAATTCGAATCTAGAAAAACAACCAATTAAGAGTATATATGTATTACACACTGATGCAATTCGAATCTAGAAAAACTCAAAAGACAAAAATTGTAGGTCTCTTCAATAGTTTTCCAACGCATATGAAATCACCTTATTCCGAAGTCGGACGAAAAAGTTACAGCTAAAATACCAAAGACTATTTTCCCAGTCTAACTAAGTTTCCTGTTTCGGGTGAGATTAGTTTGTTTGGGTTTAAGAACGTGTAGATCAAGTTCAACGGAGCGGATCGCAAAAAATTTAGGAAATAATGTGATTTTAGGCCGCGTCCTTAGGTGGGAGCCTAGGGTGTCACCTTAGATTCACTTTAAAACGCAAGATCCTGTTTTGCGGTCTCTTGCTTGCGTGGGTCTTTTGCCTGTGACGGGGACGTCAATATCCGTGGACCACCTGGCACTCAGATCTGCTCCGAGAAAATCGGGCAGAGCTTCGTTGATCCGCGTGAGATCTAGAAGCCTGAAGCGTCTATCTCGGCTAAAACGAGATATCTGCTCTTCTTAGTGATTACCGGCGAAGGGTAATACTAAGGAAAGGGGAGAACGGGTGATGAAGACTCTGATGAAAGACCTCTCCTCTCCTTGTTGAAGCGCACGACCACTCTTCACTGCAGCAGGGCTTCGCCAAGGCTCTCCAAAAATCCTCCCCCCAAAAGCAAGGCCCAAGGGGGCTATTTATAGGCTCTAGGAGGCTATAGGAGGGGTCTAGGGGGCCTAGACACCCCCTGGTGTCTCGGCTTGGCCGAGACACCCTTGGGGTGTCTCGGCCATGACCGAGACACCCTTGGGGTGTCTCGGCCAAGGCTTTTGGAACTTCTGAGACTCCCCGTAGGTGTATTTGATTGTTTTCCCCGTAGATTCTTCGTCCGAACTCGGATTTGAGTGATTCCAAGTGCGTTGGATGCTTGACGAAGAGTTCGATCTGCTCTGGTGGTTGGATTATCTGTAGAGTGGTCGAGGCACGAAGGGCGTTGTCCTTTTTGTGAACACCGCCGGGTTCCCGATTGGTCCGGGTCTTTGTTGTTCTGAAATCCTATCAGCTTACGTAGCTCGTCGATTCACTTCAGTCGTTCATCGACGTCAATTGGACTCCTGTGGATCGGATAGTGATGTTCATCGTAGCTCTTTATCACTGAACCGTTCGTGGAGACCTATAGGCAATTTTCGATGCCTACAGATACCCCCTCCAAAGTGTTCCTGACTCGTTTCTTTTATAGAAGAGGCTGGAATACTTTGGATGTGATTGGTCTAGCCTTCAGTCGGCGTAAGGACCTGTAGTTAGCTTCAACTCTTGGCTCCTTCGATTTTCGGTCTATTCGATGCTTTGACGAATAGCCGAAGTTCTTCCGGCATTGCGTTTATCGCTTGGCCGTCGTCAGAGTCTCGAGTCTGCAGCTGATGAATTGAGTTTGGTTCGTGTCATTGAGTTGACTTTGAACTACCTCCGTCACATTGTGCTGGCTTAGGGTTTCGGACCACCGCGTGTTGACTTTTTGTCGCAACGCGTTGACCGGCGTTGACCTAGGGTTACGCGTTGACCGGCGTTGACCCTAGGGTTTCAAATCGTC